CTTTTTACTTTTATTGAAAATTGGGGACGAAGAGCTCGTTTAGAACAGATTGACCCACCTATCCATGATCGAAGTTTGTTAAAAGTAAGTAGTAACCCTCCAACAGATGTTCATTCCAAATACTTTACAATTAAATCGGCTCAAAATCTTTTTTCAGGAAGAAACCCTGTTCCTGTAACTACCAAAATTTTTCACTTTAGTGACGATGTGCTTAAGAGGTTACGTGATTATTATTCTGTTGGTACTTCTAATGAAAATTGGATTTCAACAAATGATGCACTTGTAGCTCACCTTTGGAGAACATGCACTAGAGCTCGAAATCTTGATTTAAATACTGAAGTATCGTGTAACTTTTCTTTTAATGGACGTGATATATTAAATCCACCTATTCCCAAAAGCTATTATGGAAATGTTGCTTTGTAAATATATTTAATTCGTTTACAATTAAGCCACCCAAAATTCATTTATTGGTCCTCATAACCCGAGTCAAAATTTGAAAACTTATAAAAAAAAATTTTTTTATGTCTAATAACAAATTGGGTTTAAAAAAAAATTTTATATAAATTTTATAAAATTTATATATAATTTTAAAAAATGCTGGCGGGTCTATTTAAAAGTTTCATGTTATGAAAACCAAGCAATTTAAATTTGTATGGCTTTATTATCATTTTTGTTTTTTTTTTTGCATTAAAAATAACTTTAATGCTATTTAATATTATTTTATGTTTAGTGCTGTAAATATAAAATGCTTGTCTCTCAATTGATTATTGTACACCATCTTCAATAGCACCACAAATTCGAAAGGCCGTTACAGATGTGAATGAAAGCCATGTTCGATCCATAACTGTTTGGGTTGAACAACAACCAGATAAATCATTAATTCAGGTTACTGCTGGGTATGATGGCAAATATTTTGGAGGATCTAGTTGGGCAAAATTTCAAAAACATGATTTAATAGATTTTGGCGATGGAACTCCTATAAAACAGAGACGTCCGGGAAAAACTCCTGATCTTGATGGGTTATTTATGATACTTGGTGCTGAGGATGGAGTAGATGTTTACCTTACTTTGCAAATTGAAAAATTGGAAATCTTAGAACAGGATTCTGAATTTAAGAAATTTATTATTCCATAACATATCTTAGAATAATTGTCTCGCTCTCTAATTACTGTACAAATTTATTTATTATTTTTTTTATAAAAAAAATATGATCTGTCTTTTGAACATGCATTGAAATTTTTTAAAAAATTGTATATACTATATAAAATCTTTTTTTACTAAAGCTATTAGACAAAGCCTAAAGATTTATTTTTAATAAAAATAAAACTAGGCTTTGTTTTTTGTCAAAAGTTTTAAATAACAAAATAATGAAATTGACAGAATATAACAATATAATAAAAAATAATAAACTTAATAAAGTTATATAACAAAATTATTATTATTATTATTTTAATATTAAAGGTGAGACTATGCTCTTATCTTTATTAAACTTTAATGAAAACTTTTTACATAATTGGAAAAGGTTTTATATTTTAAGTCTAGTGCTAAGAGTAAGAACTCAGACTAACTTACATAACAAAATTAATAAAGCTAATCAAATTAATAAAACTATAAAAAAAACAAAATTACTATTTGGCTTCTTTTCAAATATTATAGATATTAACTAATTTATTATATTATAATTTTTTTGATTAGAACCATTTATTTATTAACCCATTATAAAATTATTTGGTTATATATCTATAATTATTGTCTTATTTGGTTATGGTTTAGAGTATATATTTATTTATTATAGTACTATAAATAGATAGTACCAATTGCACCTTTTATAGAAATAGATTGTTAATCAATTAATTCTAGAAATTTCTAAAGTATAATTATTAATCATTAAGCTGGGTATTTTCACTTTGTTTTTAAATTATTTATTATTTTTTAATATGTATTTATTATTTATTTATTAATTTTAAACCAACACTATTACACTATATTAAGAATTTAACTATATATTATAGTACTATAGTATAGTATTAAAAATCTAGTACTGGAGTGTGGTAGCTTAGTGAAGTGGTCTAGTTGTTACCTCAAGCAGCAGGTCTAAAGTTCGAATTTCACAGATAATGTTTTTAAAAAATAAGCCTGCATTATAGTAACAATTATTTATTAATCAGTTGGGTCCTAAAATCTTTAATCTTAGTAATACCATATTTATATAAAAGCTTCAGTACATAAAAGGCCAAGAAACTAGAATAATTAAAACCTGTTAGGGAAGACCCAAGTAAGAAGTAGCTATAATCTTTAATGGTACTATAGAAAAAACTTCAATTTAGAAGTTAGAACTGAGATTGAAGAACTGAATAACAACAAGATTCTTTAGTAAGGAATTTACCAACCCAACTACCAATTTAGAAAGTTAGAAATCTGTAAGGTGTTACATAGTATACCAACTCTGGCTAACCGGTAGTGGGGGCTCTACCTACCAAGACCAAAGGCTATAGAAGTCAGATAACTGACAAAAATATGCCAGGCATGTTCAAAAGACCAGTTTACCAAATTAAAGAAAAAGAACATGTGCTAGAAATTATGTATCAAGACAAGATGAAGGCACTAGCATCTAAAGCCAAGCCAAGATCAAATCTTTCTAGTTACTAGTTAGAAGTAAAAGATAAACTAATAAGGAAATAATAGAAAAAAAAGGTCCAAATATGGGTATTAGGATTAGAAGTAAACTTTATAATAGCAAAGCAGTTAAATAGAAATAATTACAACTGCAAGTAGAAGCTTCTACAACTGCACAAATCTAGGTTGGCCCAAATAGGATAAAGAAAGCTCTAGTAGATTTATCTCAAAGATAGCCATGTATCTGCTTAATAGAGGAATACAAGCTAGTAATTAGTTAGTATAAACCCAGGATAAGTCATAGAAGTTCAAGGCAGTGATACACAATTTAATAAAACGGGCTATTGGTAGTTTCTGGATTAGTATAATATGTTTAAAAATAGTTAAGATTAGAAGGTTTAAATAAATAACTTTCTAGTTGGATTATAGGTATGACATCTAGTATAAAACCTGCAGGCAGACTACTTAAATAGATACTTAAAAGATATACATATGGCTAGTTGTATCTTTATTATAACTATAATAGCAAATAATTATTAATAAAGAGTTTCTATAGCCAAAGAGGTCACCTTAATACCAAAAAAAAAAAATCTAGTACCAACTAATATATAATTAAACTTTCATGCTATATTCAAATTTACCAAACTTTTATACTATATTACAAATCTACCAAACTCTTGTGCTATATTACAAATTTACAAAACTTATATTATATTCTAAATCTTGTTTTATATTGTTCTAAATATATCAATTCTAATACTATATATATTTTAAATCTACTTATCTAACTATTGTACTAATTCTAACTATTATACTAAGTCTTTTTAATTATTGCACTATATTTATTTCTTATTATTATGCTATATTTCTTTTAAATATCATGCTATAATTATTCTATTATTATATTATATTCATTTCTAACTATAGTAGAACCTGTCAAATCTGATACTGTCAAAACTAATAACCTGTCAAAATTGATAAAAAATTAATCCACTATGCTTGTTTTTTAAGCAAAATCTGATTATCTGTCAAACCTAATAACTAATACTTATAAAATCAAATATTTATGATATATCAAATTTGAAAGGTAATTTAAATTGATTTGATTGGCTCAAATTATATTTTGTATAACAATTTTATATATAATAAATATAATCAACCAATCATAATTATTTATAATTATATAACTAGTAAATTATTAATCTTTCAAATCTGATAACCTGTCAAATCTGATACAAATTTTGGCTACTATGCATATCAGATTTGACAGTTATACTGTATTTTTTTTTTTTTTTTTTTTTTTTTTTTTTTTATATTTCTTTGATAAATCTTGCCATAGCTTGATCTCTTAGTTTTAAGTACATTTAATTTTATATCTATACTTTTATTTTCTAAGACTAAATTAGAGCCCACTTCACCTAGTTACTTGTGGTACAAGGTGCAACTTATTGCATTGGCTTACGGATAAGCTAAAAAAAAGTTCTTTTTATAAACATGTCTAAAAAGGGTTTTCACCCTTTTGTATCCAACTTAAAATAGTATTGCTCCAAACTTTTTGTATCTTTTTCTCTTTTGCTAATATCTTGTCTCTTTCTTTTCTTTACTTTCATTATCCTTTTCTTTTTTTTTTCTCACTTTTACTCCTTTTTCTTTCAAGTTGCTAGACAGAGGCTTTCTTGGTTTTGTTAATTTTTCTTTTTTTTTTCTTTTGTCTGTCTTTTTTATATTTTGTCTTTTTTCCCATTCTATAACATTGCTGCATCTGTCTCTCCATATAAAATTGTAGAAACCATTTCACATTATGTGTGCTGTAAGTTCTACTATGTGAGGTCGATTCTGTTGAGTTTAGAAGGTTCTTGATTTTATTAAATGATTCTGCAGTAGTTAGACTTTTGATCTATAACCTTCTTTTTTCTGATTTGATAGCTTCCGAGTCTCCGATAAGGATCTTGTAGAGAGTGTTTTTTGGGCAGCAATATTTTTCTTTTTTTGTGAGTTTGGACTAGGCTAAATCAATTGCTGTATTCTCTATATTTTGCCACATTATTTTGTAATATGTATATATAGCTAAATAGTCTTGCGTTTCTAATGTATCAGTGTTGCAGGCTATACAGTTACCACCTGTATAAATATCTGGTCTTCTCATTGCCAGAGTTTTGAGTACTAGTAAATTTTCCAAGAAGCACTTCAGTTGTGTTGTAAGTTTTTTACTTTTTTGTAATGTATTATATTTAACTCCCTTTAATTTTTTGATCCTTTTCTAGTATGTGTGTCAGTCTAACTTGGGATTGTCTGTTTCAGGTTCTAGAGCCAGAATTGTCTCTGTTAGTCTCCAGTTAGTACTATTCCAAGTTTTTAAAATCTTTTTTAGAAATAGTCTGGTCGATTTTTCAACTTTATGATTATTTCAAAAGAGAGGAAATGTAATTCTGGTATTGTGGTCTGCATGAATATTTGTCAAGTGAGCTAACAAAGTGGCATTTTTTGCTAGTAGGTCTGCTTTGTCATTCCATTTGTTGTTGCTATGACTTTTAATCTTTTTAAGCTCTAGATTAATGTTTTTAGCTTTGAGAAGATCTATGCTTTTAATTAAAATATCCCAGCTCTTTTCTTTATAGATTTTGTTAAATCTCCACTCATCTTTGATCTTTTTGATATTAGCAATTGCTGCTGCACTGTTTGAGTAAACATAGATATTACAACTTGATAGCATAGTAAACAGAGCTAGCCAGATTGTGATAAGCTTGAGCTTTGTTGATGATGGCCAATTTTCTATTTTTGCACAACCTTCCTATAGTTGGTTTTCTTGTTTTTCATTTACTTGTACCCATCCAGCACCCATACTACATATATCGCTTTCATGCCTTAATGAACTGTCAGTATATACCCAAAAACTATTTTTAGTACTATTTGTATTAAATTCTAAACTATTTTCTAAACAATTCATTAGAGATATTTCAAAATCTTGATCTATTATTAGCTGCTTATCCAAGTATTTAATATACTGCAAACTGTGGAGCACCATTTCTTCTCTACTAGATTTGAGTTTGTTAGAATTGCTTGGCAGGATATTTATATATCTGGAATATATTTTTGGTTCTTTTTTTGTATCAGTTTTGAAATTACTGTTCGCACTTTTTTTTGGCTAATCCAACTATAACCTTCCTCCTGCTCTATTGATAGTGCTCTATTTGGTTTTTCTATTTTTAGATAGCCTGATAATGTGTTATTTTCTTTAGATATCCAATATTCTGTGAAAATTTTATGATTACTTTTCATGATAATCTTTCTTAGCTCTAGTTCATTGTTTTCTTTATCTATTAGGATTCATTCTTTTTTCTTTTATCTGGTAAAATTGTTACAAGTTGCATTACAAGTGTGAGGTTGTTTGGGCCTTGTGTTTGGTAGATCTTTTTAATTTCCCTACTCTCTGGGTTCAGTAGTAAAGCATTTTCTATAAAGGTGAACCACTTTGCTTTTTTTCCAACTTTAAATTTACTTCTCGCTGCTTTTAGCTG